ATTTTAGTTGCTCTCAAGCGCCAATTGCAACTGTCTTCGACGCAAGCAACTGTCAACAATGACTTGTTTGATTTCTTTACCTTGAACTCAAAGTTATATTTTAATGCCAGCCGGTGAACAGCTTCCTGCAAATCTTTCTTGGTTTCAAACAGTTGCTCGACCTGCAAGTCCTCATCATCGCGAACCACACGGGAAGAATTGGAGGACGGTCCACTTGTTCCAACCTGTGAGCTCCCACTCGGCTTGTGTCTCTGTCGGGATAAAGCAATCAAATTCTCATTTGTAAAGTCGTTTATGTTCTCATTGTCTTCAACTGTTGACGGAATTCTGCGCGTAACAGCGACGTCACAATCAGAAGCAACTGTCTCAGGAATACCCACATCATCCGCAGGAACTATCTCCACTGTCTCCCAAAAACTTCGATCATTGTTATCCGCCCTATCCGAATCTTCACGTTCACCTTCGATAACATCCTTCATAATTAAAGTCACACCAAGAACAGTCGGAGTCCGATGCATTTTATTCAATTCTAATAGATAATTCAATTCAGCATCATTAGTAACGAATACCGGTGGCATCGGAATGGATGAATCCCCATAACCGTTGAATAGATATCTCAATTGCATATCGTATTGAGATTGATCGACATTCAGCTTATTTTGCAAATCGTGGTACATTTCTAAATATGGTGTACTCTCTGTTACGGGAATTGCAATACAACCACGTATGTCACTCGTCCATCTCCATTCCCACCGATTATTATCATTTAATTCGAAATCACCGAAATAACACACGGGGATTATCATATCTGCATGAGGAAATGGTTTTAATCAACTTCAAATATTAATTATAAGAAATAAAAAGGCAAAAAATCAGCTGCAGCGAAGGCTGTTTAACAGCCTAACAGCCGGCTGTTTAACGGCCGGCTGTTAGGCTGTTAAACAGCCGAACAGCCGGCTGTTTTCGGCTGTTTTACAGCCGGCTTCTGAACAGCCGGCTGTTGGATATTTAACAGCCGGCTGTTTCCCGGCTGTTAAACATCCAACAACCGGCTGTTTCAGACTATTTCCGACTGTTTGTTAAGTTATACCAGTTTGGCGTAGGAGAATACCGTTCTAAAAACGAAATTAAGCATGCGTAATTTAAACGTAAGTTATACATCCGTTTAATTTTATTTTTTTGATAGGTTCTGTTAAAATAAATCTATGTCGACATAAAATTTCTCTTTTTAACGTATACTAATTTACTTAAAACGAAATTAAACATGATTAAATGTACTTACCGAATTGAAGTAATTGATGTGAAAAAAATTTTCAGCTTCAACGTTCCAAAGTTCTTCTAGATTTTGAGGTTCAAGCAGATGAAAATATGAGAGTTTTTTCTGTGTTGGAAGCTCGTTTTGAAGTTTTTATAAGTGGGGAAATGTTTGGTTTTCAATTATTAAGTAAAAGGGTAGTATAGTCCTTTCAACAATATATTGTTTTGTAATTGTACAAAATATTTAAGGGCATCTTTGTCTTTTACCATACAAGAGGCCAATGTCATAATATTCTTGATTTTGGAAGTCAAACTGAAATTTTGCTCCTTTGACTGGGTCAAAATTAAAAGTACCCCAAAAGAACCTCTCAAATAAGATGATGATATAAATTACCGTTTGCCTCCGATTTATAGAATTGAAAATGGGTGAAATAATATTTTTAAAAAAATGATTGGTTGAAAAAAAAAAGTTTTCGATTTTTGTGTAATTTTATTTTATAGAAAATTATTTAATTAAAAATAAGAGAAAAAAATGGAATGTAATAGAATGAAAAATTAATGGTAGCCAAACCAGGGCGTTGAATTCTCACAACCTCAATATAAAGGATTACAACGCAGAGAGAATTGAACATGAGTTCCAAGATTAATGGTAGAAATAAATTACAACATTGTAACTTTAAGGAGTTATGAAAGTCCATTAACTATACATCGAATTTACAACACTTTAAAGAACTCATTTATGCATAAATTTCATTAGTCACCGGTTTATAGTAAACTAAACTTAGATTTATCTCAATTAAATGCCTGAACATTAATTTGTATCTTTATCTTTCAATGTTATTGTGTAAAACGTTCTTATCTTTTATTTTTTAACATTTTCACCCCTATTTTCATATTTCATTGTGGGAAAATGTCCCTTTCATCTAATTTTTTAACAAAAAATGTGAAATGATAAATATACCCTCCTATTTAAGGAAAACGAAACAAGGAAAAGAAAAATTAAAGAACAAATTGTAATTATACTCCCTAACTTTTTAAAAAGCTACGAATGAGTCTAAATAAATTATTAAAAAGATAATTAGTATAAAATGTCTCTATCTTTCAATATTATTGTGCAAAGCGTCTCTAACTTTATTTTTTGACATTTTCACCTTTATTTTTCACATTTCATTGCAGAAATTATCATTTTCATCCAATTTTTCAATGAAAAACTGTAAAATGATGAATATACCCTCATATATAAATAAAAAAATAGCAAAAAGAAAAATAAAGAATAAAGTGCAACTATAATCCCAAAATTTTCAAAAAAGTACAAATAAATCATCAAAAAAAAAATTGGGAGAATAGTTGTAATTTATTAATTTTTTTTACTTTAATTTTGTTTTATTTAAATAGGAGAGTATATTTGTCATTTTATAACTTTTAATTCAGAAGATATATCAAAAGATATTTTCATAATATAATGTGAAAAGAAGGGTAAAAATGTCAAAAAATAAACGTAGAAACATTTTGCAGAGTAATATTGAAAGTTAAGAATTTTTTTGTGCTAATTACCCTTTTAATAATTTATTTGGACTCATTTGTAAATTCTTAGAAAGTTTGAGAGTATAATTACAATTTATTCTTTAATTTTTCTTCTCCTTGTTTGGTTTTATTTAAATAGGATGGTATATTTATCATTTTACAATTTTTATTGAAAAATTAGATGAAATGGACATTTTCCCGCAATGAAAGTTGAAAATATGGGTGAAAATGTCAAAAATAAAATATATGGACGTTTTACACAATAACATTGAAAGGTAAGAACGTTTTGTACTAAATTAGCTTTAACTTTAATCTCAAATCTCACAATTTTGGCACACCTTTCATCCTTCAAAATGATGAAAATTATTTAGTTGATCACACATTCCTACATTACACCATAAAAACAAAAATAATTAATTAAATATTATTATGTTTTTAAGACATAACCTTTGTTTGAGTCCCATTTTGTTGAAAAAATAGATTTTATAATAGTGATTTTTTAAAAAATATGTGGTTAAAAAAAAAAAAGAAAGTTGAATTTATGTTTAAATTATTTGATTGAGAAAGTGTGAGATCGAAAATAAATTTGGAGAAAAACGAATTTTAAAATAATGCGGACTCAAACATGGACTTTTTTACTTTATTTTATTTCCACGCTTTTAGTATGTAATATAGTGATAAATTAGGATGTCAATATCTAAAAAAATGTTTAAAATTTCATTAACGATTAAGCTATTTCATCAAATAATAAAGACGGCAAGTGCACTTCGGTGAAATTTAAAACCATATTGAAGTTTAGTGGCCGAATTGGAATGAAATTTAAGTTCAATGATCCAATGACATGAATTTTAGTAACCAATTTGAGATTATTGCATTTTTGTCTAGATTGGAAGTAACAATAGTAAATTAATGGAGATGAATAATGTCATAGAGCGCCGATCTATATGACATTATATTATTTATTTAATTGTATATTTCATTTAATGACACTTAGTGCCACTTAAAAGGGCATTGTCGCACCAGTAATGCTACTCTTTCTCAATTGAGATTATTGTATTCATGTCTTTTATTGAAAGTAACAATAATAACTTTCGACTTTCAACTACAAAAGAGGTACAAGGGGAGGTAAATCTCCAGATGACATACAAATACATTAGCTCTATATTAGGTTCTCTCAATAAATTTTGTGCTATTATAATAGAAACAGTTGATACTCAGCAGATGGGAGATAAGTAATTTCTCTGTATCAGTGTTCTTTGGAATCTAAGAAAACACAAAAATAGATACGTGAAAGAATAGGCACTCGGAGCAATACAATTATCAAACACGTTTACGAATACTATACTACCTCGTTTTCAAACTATTCTCATCACTGAGCCTGTCTGCCGACAGTTCCTCCTGTACCGCACAACAGTATAATCACCAGGTAACTATTTAGCGAAATTTCACTCAACTCAAAAATATTGAATTCTAATAATCTTTCTGAGATCAACTCTACAAGAAGTAATCTGGCGGGGGTTTTTTAGCAGGAGCTCCTCTTGATTCCTACATTTTACCATGAAACCATTGATGCACAATTAGTTGAAAAATAAACAGGGAGCAGAGATGGACGAATGATAAGTTAGCTAGCCAGATATAATCCTTAAAATTAAAAATTCAAACTTGCAGATAATCGTTTTTTGGTAGGTAAATGCTAATAGCATGGGTCCTAGGCAACTTAAGATTTTGACACCAGGTCACATATTTAGCCGTTGAGTACTGGTGCTCTCAGTGTCATAGGCATTCCATATATTTTTAAACATCGTCTAGCAGTGGCTCATGTTCAAAAGGTGAAACTGAATGTGCAGGAAGCTAAGAGGAAACTAAAAGAGTTTTGCTAAAATAACAGGGAGGTTGAACCCAGACATAATGCAAAATGAAAACTTATAACCTCTACCAACTGGGCTAATCTTTGTAGTTCTAACTAGACAAGGTATACACACATTTTATTTTTCATTTTACTTGTATGCTCTCCCGATTGCAATCTTTTGACTTATGCCAATGTGACTTAGAATTCGTGCAGGTGCTGCTGTTGCCTCGGGTAATAAAAAATGAAAAGGAAAGTTTTAGTCCAAATCCAACAGAAGCACATCATATGCACAGACCTGTGAAGCTGCTTCAAACACACGAAACTGCGTTTCAAGATTTTCATCCAGCTGAAGAATCGCAGCTACATTGCCACATCTGCAGCATATTGGATTTTTAGAACAAGTTTAACATGACAAGAGATGAACGAAAGAACTAATATAGTTCACTAAATTTACCAATTACCTGTAACAGTAATTTGGAGCTGACCATACAGTAACTATATGGTTGTTAAACATCCACTTATAACCTTCCATTACCAGCTGATGGGCGCGGCATATAAAGTCGATATTATTTGAATGGTTAAATGAAGTTACAACGCTGCCACCAAATAAGAAACCAGCACCACGGGGACTCAAACCCCAACCATCAACAATGTCTTCTGGATCCGACCATAGGAGGTCACACATGGCACCATCATGAGGTACTTCTTGCTTCCGGTCAATAGTTCGAATCTGAGATACAGGTCAATTAGAATCTTTAATCACGCTTCAAATAAAGGGAAGAGACTGATACTTGAATTTTCATACCTGGTCTAATGTGGAAATTGATGGTGACAGACCACCATGAACAGAAAATATCTTGTTTTCAATAAGCGCTGACAAACTGCAACAGATATCCAATAGAATTCAACCGTTATGCAAATTATGTTTCAAAATGTAGCATACCAGGGACGTGCAAGGTACTTTTTTTAAAAGGGAATTCAGATGTGCACTTTCAGACAATATAAAGGATATTGCCACAATGATATGCATGATTTATCGACTGAGAAGTCTAGAGTCAAACTACAATATGAGTATACAACTGAGGCACGTATAAAATTGGTCTTTTTTTTGTCTCCTAAAGCCCCAAATATTAAAAACTTGACCCATGTTACCAAGTGTGCATGTTCGATTAAAAACAAAAACCATAGAATATCCAAGAAATTGCAATTGGCAAACCTTAAATAATCGAATATATCAGTGCAATATCTCCAAACATTCACTGAACCGTACTTCCGTAAGCACTCGTCATAGAATCCGTAAACCTAGAAGCAGAGAAAACCAATAAGTCACATGCAACCTAATAGCTTAAATCCGATAAGCAACAAAGACTCAACCTGTGTGATTTGCCGGCTCTCATGGTTTCCCCTGATGAGAGTTATCCGATCTGGGTATCTCACCTGACAATCAATTTCATGTTAGTGAAAGCTCACAAAAAGATACATATTTTGAAATTCAAGGAAAACAAACAATATCAGATACACAAGGGCAAATGTCTTTTTCAGGGACATAGGGCATCATCATAAATGCTCGACCATTTACTCAAGAAATAGGTAAATGCTAATACCTTCAAGGCAAGTAGAAGCAAAAATGTCTCAACTGAGTAAAATCCTCTATCAACAAAATCTCCAAGAAACAAGTAATTAGTCTGTGGACAATCGCCTCCAACTTTGAAAAGCTCTTTCATATCATAGAACTGTCCATGTATGTCACCACATATCTACATCCAACAAAGAGGTATAACAATGCTAGAATATGACCAGAACATCTAAGACAGCAAAACAAATGCCATATGCTATAGACTATTTTGAGTAAAGTATCAATATGTAATCATGCATCTCATACATACAGATAGGAATATAAAAAAATGAAGGAGAGGTTTCTCCCATTATTCTCGGTTCCTTTTCCATGGGGTGGGGGTACCATTAAAAGAAAAGGAAAAAATAAAATTTCAGAAAAA